ACAAAGTAACTGCTCAGCAAAGAGTCTTTTGAATGTACTCCCTTTCACAATAGCTGAGGAGAGGCAATTGGGGAATACAACTGATGCAACTGTTAACTGTTTAACTTTGGGACATTCTTTCTGACCTGTGACTTGGGAAGGGATCAGTCAGCAGGAGACACTGTTTCTGTGGTCTTCCATGTGGCTTCCATGTACCAGCACCCTTCATCTCCATGATGGCAGTCAGGTTTTTTGGGTTGCCCCATGGCAAGAATTAGATAGGTTCCCTTCCCACATTGCAAAGCCCAGCCTGATCCCTCATTCATTAGCTATCTGGAAGCAATGAAACAAGCAGGACAGTCACTATAATACAGATGGCGCAAGTTGGATGGACTGGACATCACATTACCATACCCAGTTTGTGGCAGTGAAGGGGTCAAGGCAATCTTCCTTCTTTCCGTCCATTGCATCCTCATGTGGTGGCCATCTGGCAAAATTTTTTAAAATCCTAGGCACTCACACACATTCCAGTTGTCCTGATCACAATTATTGATATAATTCAAGAGGAAGTTATCTAGAGAATCACCTGTTCTGCTTTGGGGGATCAGTTTCAGTTGTGGCAGTCTAGGGATACAGATAATGAGCTAGGCTTTGGGTTCCTGAGCCACCTGAATATATTCCTCCCTTTCCTATCTTGGCTTCTTATACAGAGGTGAAAGAGATTGTCTGGGCAGTTCCAGAATTCCCAATTGGTACACGGAATAATCCTAGCTGCCTTCAAGACAGAAGAGCACTTCTTTTTTAAAAACAGAAACAAAACAAACCTCCTGATTGGATCTAGATTATTCCTTGGTTGCAATACCCATTACGGAGGTAAGATGTTTCAAGGGGTGGTGGCAGCCCAGTTTGTAGCACTGCTAGATGGAATGCATTATCTAGGCTTGTTTCAGCCTGGGTTTGGGCCTGGCTTCGGCACTGAAACGTAGTCTCCAGAGTCAGGATGCACACTGTGGTTTCTTCTTCCTCTCAAGGGTTATTAATACCATCTGCAGTAACTCACTGGACTGATTCTGTGGAATAAGAGACACAGCAATTCTACGTTTATTTCCCTGGTTTTCAAAAATTAGTATTGGGGAATAACCCCATGGCATATGATCTGTGGGGTGCTGTAACACTCCACCGCATCCATATGGGGTGATTGGAGCTGGGTGTGATGGTGTTAGTGCTGAACTGAAGCTGAATTGTGAAAAGTCAGAGGTATTGAAGGTAGGTGTTTTTATAGCTGAAAAGGCAGTTTATTACCTATTATATACAAATACTGTGCAAACTTTGTATGTGTGTGGGTACAATGCGTAAGTGGCCACCCTGATGGTATATGACTCTTAACAATGAAGCTTATAAAATAATAATGTAATCCTATGCATATGGTTGCAGCATCCAGGTAAGAGAATATGGGACTGTGCAGATTCACAATCTCCAGTTTAGCCTACTACGGTTTTAAGATATCTTCCATTTGTGCCTATGTCACTAATCAGAATACAGTAATTGCATGCAGTACATAAGCTTTGGGACAAATATTCTCCTAAACAGGGGTCACTAATTAGGAGCATGTTCAGAATCTGCTTATTTAGTAAATTTGTTAGAATACCCATTTCCTGCTTTTCTTTCTTGGGAAGCTAACTGCTACAATTACTTACCAAGCGACTGTTTTATAGTGTTTGGCCACTAGAGGGGAGCCTAAGCTTTCCTTTGCAGTTTAGGAAGAAAAGACCAAAAAATAAAAGAAAAAACCCACCCATCATTACAACCATGATTTCGTTGGCACTGTGCTTTACTTGGTTTCAGGGAATGAACACACACTCTAGAAAGTTGGATGAGAATCGGAAGTAGCTCCATATCTGTAAAACTTGAGAGCTTTGGTGATAGTGGTGGGGTCTAAGACTGTTGAAAGATACAGTTTAAGAAAATCACAAGTTTTGTTACCTTTTGTTCCAGAATACCCAAAAGTTGTGTCTGAAAATGTTTAAGGAAAGAAAGGAACTGCTCCTACATAGTGACAAAGTTGCAATGGGCTCCATCATCATCATCATCAAAAATATAATCTGTGGATTTCCAATCCATCTAACAGGATTATGTTCTTATATTTCCCATTGGGGTTCCCCACCCCTTATACAAAAGAATCTGCCCAGTGTAGATATACCCATATTGCGGTAAGCACCTCTGAAATCTACTATGATGGACAGTGTATAAACATGCCAAATAAAGAGTCCCAGGAATGCATTTTCATATGGGAACAGTGCCACATCCTCTGTCCTATTTTTTAAATGCAAGAATTCAGTGTTGGCCTTAAAATCTGGAACTTACCAAAATGCCAAAAGGAATAATATGCAACCAATGTACAGTATCAGAAAGACTCACAAAAAGGTACTTAAAAATTAGCCACATTATATTCACAATCTCACTTTTCACTGGGATGGAACAGTTTTGTTGAATACGGAGTGCTGTAAAAGTAGGAGAAACCTAGAAACACAGAGAGTCAGAAGGGGCCTCCTGGGCCATCTGACCCTTGGCTCCAGCCGGCTCCACTAAAGACATGCCCACCATGTGCATGTCCAGTCTATCTTTGAACACTCTCACCGATGGGGCCTCAACCACCTCCCATAGTAGAATATAAGCAACATTGCTAGTTGCTGAAAATCCAGTTGTCCTGGATGCATCAATTTCCAGAGTCATTGCTGTGTCCCATGTTCAAGGACAAGTATATTCCCAGGATTTGTGATCTGTATCAAATAGATACATAGATGGACATGCAACACATTTACAGGAATATGTGGCATACAGAAGCTACCAGATTCAACATACGAAGACTAACTTTATTTTGCTTGTTTTTCTTTTGACATGCTGCTATTTGTAATGTCAGCACCAGTACCTATCCAAATGGCAGCAACCTAGCATTGTACCTGCATAAAGCCAGTCATAAAATGTAACCCTCAATTCAGGAAATGGGATGTTGTGACATAGTAGCTGCTGTGATTGTTTGGTTTCCTTCTTAGTTTTTGTGCTTTTCCCAATAGAAGATTCCATCCATTTTGCTTTGGGAACTCCTTGCCTTTCACCGTATTGGCCACTTATGGGTGCAGCCATAGAACCCCTGGTCTGTTCTTCATCCAGGCCAGGAGACTTTGTCAGGAGCTCCAGCTGGCACACTGGCCAGCAACCAAGCTATGTTGGGGGTGTGTCCACAACATGTCCCCAACAGGCATCAGCTCTTTCCCCCTCCCCCACCACACCCAATATCTATTTCTCACCCAGGCCATAAAATATACCAGATTTTGTCCTAAGGGGCTATGCTCCAACTCAGAAGGGAATGTACATCAAATGTATTTTCTGCATTAGAAAGCTAGGACAGAGCAACCCTCAGGGTGAACTAGACCGCAACTAATCCTACTGATTATTCATTCTCCATTATTTTTCTTCCCACTATCTGGCTATACAGAATCACATTATTGAACTGCTCTGACATTTAGCCCTTTAGCTGAATTTGTGCAATATGGCACATCTGAATTTGGCTAACACAAGAATACTTGTGTACAATCCTATAGTTTGCAACTTATGCTCACAAAAGGAGAGTACATCAAAGACAAAATCAGGCTGAGATCCTGCTTCACAAAGTGAGTTAGACACAAACCATTTCAGCTGATACCCAGTTCAGCATCAATCTGAATCAAAATGTCATTTTGGAAGATCCTTAGCTGTTTTTCCTCACCATTGATTTACCATAGGAAATTGAACAAACAACTTTTAACTTTCATACTTTTTGGCAGAAAAAGTCGGAATATGCAGGCCTCGTTGCTCTTCTGAGAGAACACAAGCATCCCAATCTAATGCAATGGCAGTTGAAAGGACCTGATGGAATGAGGGGGCCTCTGTACCTCCTGGGACCCCTTCCCTTCTTGACATATTTAGCTATCAAAATTTTCCTGATTCTAGGTGTTGCACAGGCACCCAATCCCATCAGTGTGATGCACAGAGGCCACAAAGAAGCACACACACACCATTTCAGGCAATGATGTGTATGTTAGAAGTGTCCCTCTGTAAAAAATCTGCAAAGTATCAGAAGGATAAGTGCAAAGGTTAGGGAAATTACCATGAATGAAAAAAGCTGAAGGGGTTTTTTTTTTGCTCAGCTAACAAAATCACAGGAAGAACTTCATTTACACACACACACACCTCATATAAGCTCCTTCTCAAATTGTCAGTTGTGCTTCCTAGCTGCTCCTTGGTTACAGTGGGCCCGAAGTTGCCAGTAGGCGCCACACTGAGCATGAAGGAGTGCTCTTCCTTCTGCTGTTGCCAGGGAGAAAATATTAAGAGAACGGTACAGGTTAGGAGGACTTGAATAAGATTTTAAATATCCATAATGCTAAATTACAGATATATTATGAACCTCATTTTTTTCTTTTTTCAAAGTGGGTTTGTTATCACATAGCGATAGCTAACTAACCAAGTTGTGAATGCAGGATAGAGTGCACGTACCTGAATCCCCAGCTGGCACAGACCAGGAAGTACTGCTCCCCAAGCAATTTGTGATCTCAGTGTGGCTGGAGCTCAGAAAATGCCTCAGAAATTTTATGATAGTGTCAAAATGCCATAAAAATTACAAGAATATCCCTTGAAAAGTTCTATATCTGTCTCAAAAGCACTGTGACTGTATATCTGAAGTTCTGTACTTTTGAGAAGTTACTTTTTTTAAGCTTCCCAAGCCACTTTTCATAATGTAATCTACCTAGGCTTTGTGAGATTAGGGCTTATTTCAGTACTATTTAGGTTGCAGATCTATGCTAAAACACCTAAGTTGTAATATTCATAAAACATATCCAGCATGTCTACTTAAATTGTAAGTAGACGTATTTAAAATAAAATTAAATTGCAAAAAGCATATTTAACACAGGGAAGCAAAAATAATTTATATGCATACTATTTCCAATACTAGATAGCAAAGATCAGCGTAGAGCCAGAAGTATCAACAAGAATTATTCAAAACTTTATTTATAAGAAACATTCAAATGCATCATTTTCAAAAGGGGGCTGAAATACCAATAAAGTCAGAACACAAATCACAGCTCCTTTTAATTGCTAGCACCATTTCAACCTGTGACACACAAATTATGGTCCTTGGGTGTGTAAAAACTCCAACATTAAAAATGTGGCATTCCAACAGTAACAAAAGGTGTCTAAAAATATTGTACGAACAGTACATTTTAAAATTGAGTTTAAATTGAGTTATTATGCATTAGTAGTTTCTCAGGTATAATTAAGCATAAGACCACTTCTACATACCACCCAAAATCTATGAACCATGGTTCAAGAAGTGTTTGAAAACTGCTCTTGGTATCCCTTTACAACGAAGGTAAAAAACACTTAATACACTATAGTACAATCACTGCAGCGTAAAAAACAAGACTGAGCGTATAAAATGTCTTCCTAGTCTATAAAAGTACTAAATGGACTACAAAATTAAGCAGTAAGTCAAGTTCTCTTTTGGCCACATGCAGCCATTATAACAAACTGCAAACACATTGCCAGCACAAATGGGTTGAACACATAATACAAAAAGATCCTAAAGTGTACAAGTCAGATTTAAAGTTCTCTATTTCTTATACGCTTCCTCTACATTTAGTTTTGTATCATTTTCTAACATCTGGCACAACTTGTAATTTGTGTTCAGAGTATGCATAAAGTGCTAAAAGTGCAAAAAACAGAACCAGGACTGCTTTGTATATGATAAAAACCGTTTCAACATACTGCTTGTAATAGTTCCTTTATGAACTGGCCAACAACTACACTTCTGGTAACATTGGTACTTCCCAGGAAGTCATTGCATGAGGGCAAAGAGACTTTTGACATGTTCCAACCAATGAGCAGAAAAAGGAATGTTAAATATTATAGCCTGCACCAAACAGTAATAGACTTCACACATCATGTATGAAGTAAGTCCTGTATAGTAATTAACAGTCAAGTTTTCCACACTCTTACATGGAAAAAGCATATGAATACATGCATGCAGGGTGTGGAAAGGATACCTATAATTTGCTATGATGTAATTTAAAAGAACTGACACTTCAGGAATATTTCGGAAGGAACAATGGATCTGCACAATGAAGAGAAACTTTCTGTTATGACGACTTTTAGAACGGGTTGTATTTGTTGTTGGTGGTGATCTTTGTGGTAGAAAAACAAGGAACCAGAATATGTCAATTCAGTCCTTCAAGCAATATCCATTTTTACAGCAGCTAAGAGACAAGTCAAGTTGGGCACAAAGAAAATACTTCTAGTTCTGCTGGACTGGCAGCCGTTATACATTTTTATGACAATTTAAAACAATGTAAAATGAATTTTGGCAAAAATTAAAACCATTCCAAGCTATACTCCTTTACACTTAGTTACACTAGAATTTGACAGTGTCAAGATTTCTTATGAACAGATCTTCTGACAAAACAAAATGTAAAATTTTATTTCTCCCTCATTTAGTATGGTCTTCTGTGACATGCATCATAATAATTGGTGCTATTAAAAGGTGAAAACATGTCTTGCTTAACAAAATGGACAAATTTCTCCAAAGGGCACATCAGCTTGCTATAACGTTTGTTGTAATCTCTGCAGAAGGAAGTCTGGAATGTGACATCAACACCATTATAAAGGATGCGAACAAAGTGTTCCTTATATTTCTTTCCATCCTTCCAAAGCTCAAATACAAGTCTAGCAGCAAATCTTGGAAACCGGGCCTCCGTAATGCCTAAGGCACTAAGGACAGGTGACAAGGTGACATCATGAGCAGAGTAAAGGACAAACAACTCTTCTTTCTTGCCCTCTGCAATGCGCTGCATACGATTGACAGTCTGGTTAAGGATAGGATGAGTGGCCAGTAGGGCATACAAGTAGTAGAATTTTTTCTCCTGCCTCTCTTTTTCATCTTCAAGTTGATGTGTCTTGATTACTTTAAAGTGCTCGATGTCAATGCAGCCATTCTTAGTGCATGGGAAGCTGACATTATGGCAAAAATGGCACAACATCGAATCTATAGGGTTAGAAGCCCTTAGCTGCCTTGTGGGTATGCCAACTATTCTTGCCATATCTGCATATGTTTTCTCCAAATTTAAGTTTTTAACCCGTAGGCTATACTGGCGACGTTGTTCTTCCTCTAGGTAATGGTTTCTTATTGGGCAATCACAATTTCCTGAACAAAAAATTGTGCTCCATTGGTTTCGAAAATTAATTTTCTTCCAGTCAAATTCTGGCAGGAAGGAATAGAGTAATGCGAGCCCACTCTGTAGCGTTCGACTCTTTCCTGTGGTCTCCAAATACAAATGTTTACTGGTCCAATCACTTGGTACCAAGTTATGCTTCTTTATATAAATATCCCTTAGCAGTTGTCCATTTCGTAAGTGCTGTACAATACCTTTAAGAACAAGTGGGGGGAAAGGTAGGAAAAAATCAATAGCATATAGCAGAATGCCCTCCTTCCTGGGGCTACAGTTAATTAGCACATATTTGACTTAGAACTAAGACAGGTGGATATGAACAATCAAATTTTGACTACATTTTGCTCCTATGCAGGACAGCATAAACAAGAACACATTGCCAAGCATGTATTAGCAAACTCTAAATTAAATGTTAGTATTCCATATTGCTCAGTACAGTAGGAAAATGGAACAGCTGCTTCAATAGCTTTATGATAAACAGCTAAGGGAGGAACAGAACTTTAAGTTAGATTAAAAAAGAAATCAATTTGACAACCTATAAAAAATACATTCAGCTTTTCTGCAAAGTTGATCAGCTATTAGGAATGAAAATTCAGTTGAGTTTATAAGTAAATTGTATTTGTTGTATATTGCACAAGTCCTTAGCCCGTGGCAGAATTAAAAGCAAGCCTTTTCTATTTATATGCATCTTAGTAATATTAACCTGCTTAAGTGATTTTTATATTAATTTTCATCATTTTATGTATTATGATAGGTTTTTAAAAATATGTTTATGTGTAAATAATTGCCTTAATTATTAACTAGGTAGTCCAGAGAAATAAGCAAAGCATAGCAACTGCAACTAAAAATCCCTGATGGAAGCTGCATGTTTGGAATCAAACACTTTCAAATAATAAATCAAAACTAATGCATGCTACATGAGAAGTCATACTGGATCTCCCAGCACCTTCTCCCCCTGAAAATGAAGCTGGCTGAAGTAAGGCTAGTATTGTCAGTTCGTAGGACACAGTGCCCATGACTGATTGTTCATTCTCAAGTAGCCTTATTGGGAAGGCTTGTATTAGTCAATAGGTTAGACCTTCCACTAGGCAGAATGAGGCAAGCAATCTAAGCAGAAGCTAGTCCCTCCTGCTACAGTGCTACTGCTACTGTTAGCTGCCTTTATTTCATGTCAGGTTCTGGGCCTCCACCTGATGCACTCCCACTCGCTGCAGCCATGTGCATCAAGAATCAAGGTGAGCACCTGTGGAAGTGGGAGAGGTTCAGACCTCTAATATTTTTTTCTGATCACCTAGGCTGGTGGGAAAGTAAACCACATATGTGTTTGGAAAGTAATCAGAACACCATCTGGAGCACACAGAGGCTGCAGTAAATCACACCTATTTGTGCTAACTGGTTATAGTCTGTTATAGCTCATTTTTTGTTTTGATACAAGAAGGAGTTTGTGTCTGTTCTAAATCAACATCTAAGAAAACAACTATGATGCTTGTGAGTGGGTGTTTCTGTGATTGGTGTAATTTACATGCATAGTAATTCAAGAAGTTTCCGTTTTCCTCAGAACAACAAGGAATGTTATATAAACAAGGAGCTTTTGCCTCTGAGTTAAGATACTTGTTGCTTTCAGAGGACTTCCGGTCAGTTTCAACTCTCTCTCCTGGAATTTATTTATTTATTTATTAAAACATTTTTATGCCGCCCCATTTGCCGAAGCCTCGGGGCGGCTTACAACAAATAAGTTAAATAACATTTTAAAATATATACATTAAAATTAATTACAAATATACAATATAAAATAAGCCGCCCTGGCCAGAAAAATTCAATAATATTAACATTTAAAATGCTGCTTGAATAAAAAGGTCTTCGCCTGGCGCCGAAAAACAAATAACGGCGCCAGGCGGGCCTCTCTGGGGAGCGCATTCCATAACTTAGGCGCCACCACAGAGAAAGCCCTCCTCCGAGTAGCCACCCTCCTAATTTTATGCTTTATTAAGCCTACGTACCTGGATTAACCTAAACACAGAATTAAGTTCATTTTCTTCCACATCCCCGAGCTAAAGAGGTACACTGAGCTGCAGCAAATGTGCCTACCCACTGCCAATCTTCTCACCACTACCCTGAAAGAGACCGAGACCCTGACAAGCAAGGGCCCCACAAAGCAGCTGCTACTGAGGAGGGGAGGTAGCAGTGGAGGAGGAGGATACGGACAAACAGAAGCCATATGTCCCAGCCATGCCTCCAAGCAGACAACCACTGCAGGCAAAGTGACTATCCCTATCTAGCTTTTCTCTCTCTAAATCAACCTGACTTGCAGCCTCTCCACCCCACCCCACCCCACCCCACCCCCATATTGCTGGCATAAAGCATCAACCTTGGCTTCCCCACACATTTCTCATTTCTGCCTGTATCACTTGTGCCTGTGAATGGCAATCACACATTCTCCTCTAATCCTGAACCATTTCAATCCAGTTTTATCAGCGGCACTGTTTTCATGTAAGACTGCTGAGGGATTATAGCCTGACAGTTTAAATTTGGGAGTAATTCATTTCCATGCATAGAGCAAACCTATGCATGTTTACTCAGAAGGAAGTTCCATAATATCCAGTGGAATTTACCTCACTATAAGGTTGCAAAGACATGGGCTTGATGGGGAAGGATTCTAAAAGAAAAAGACAGAAAGAGAGCAAGTGCAAAGAATAGAAAGAGAAACAGAACGTGGGAGTGTAGACTTGTCCCTGTGTGAGAGACAGCAAAGAAGAAAAGGGGAGATGAAAGCATATAAGAGATCAATGCAACTTACGTATGCAACAAGTACCTTGTTAGAAGAAAGAATGAGAGCATTGGACTTATGAGTGTCTACCCTCAAGGCAACAAAAAAAGACAAAGAGTTCTTAGTGGTAGAACTACAAGATCAACAGCAAGCTGAGGCAGAAGAGGAGAATCTTAAAGCAAGGGAAAATGAAGTAGAGAGAACTCTTTGGACCATGCTATAATTAATTTCTTGATGCTAAAAGAAGCAGAAGCTAATTGTAGCCAAATGCATACCCTAGATTTTAGGAAAGCCAATTTAATGGACTCAGAACAATAACAGGTAAGGTCCCATGGCAAGTGATTCTAATGAATAATGTAATCCAAATTGGAGGGGAAACAAAGACAATTCTAAAAGCATGATTACAAACAATTCCAACATGAAAAGAAAAGAAAAGAAAGACAACCAAAGAAATCAGTATGGCTTCACAAAAGGCTCAGAGTTTACCTGGAAATGGAGAATAAGAAGTGGAAAACAGGCCAGGCTACAAAGGAAGAGTACAGGAAGGTAGCATAAAATTGCAGGGTGACATAATGAAGGTTCAGATGAGGGTTATAAAGATGACTAAGGATTGGAAACTAAGCTCTATGAAGAAAAACTGAAAGCACTAGGTATGTTCAGCCTTGAAAAGAGAAGTCTGAATAGAGTCATGATACCATTCTTCAAGTACTTGAAAGGTGCTTGTAACACAGAGTAGTGCCAAGATCTCATCACAGTCCAGATAAGAGTACAGGACACAAAATGATGGGCTCACGTTACAGGAAGCCAGATTCTGGATGAACATCAGGAACAAACATCCTTACTACTAAGTGCAGTACAACAATGAAACCAATTACCTGGAAGGTTAAGGGCTTTCCCACAATGGAGGCATTCAGGATGTAGCATCTGTTACAGATGCTTCAACCTGAAGTCCTGCACTGAACAGGTGGTTAGACTAAGGGCCTTACTGGCCTCTTCCATCTCTACTATTCAATGATTCTGTAAATGATTCTAGGTCTCAGAGGAAAGAATAAAGAAAGGGGGACCAGCTGAGAAGCAAACAATGCAGGATATGTGGAAGGAAAAGAACACTTGTCTGGCTTGGATATAGAGACATTCTATTTCATACCACAAGCATGTCCATCTCTACTCAAAAATAAATCCCATTAAGGTCAAGTGGTCTGATTTCCAAGTAAGTTGTGTATCGGATGCATCTTTTATTTTGGCAAAGCTGGGGGAGTCTGCTGTGCCTGACTCACCACACATCCCTGGCCTTTTGACTAATGATTCACTGTTGTGACTTCCTGTCCCAAACTGAGAATATTAGGTTTCATCCATGCCTTCTGAGGTCTGTCTTAGACTTGGGGTCATCTAGTTAATTTGACTGGCAGTGCACCAGACAGGAAAGGAAAGGCGTTCCTGTGGATTTTACTCAGCTAGCCAAACAGCACCGGACAGAGGACAGTCAAAAAGGAAGTCTATCTTCACACACAGTACATTTCTTTACTGCAATATGTTGCACCTGAATGTTTTCGCACTGCCTCAGGTGCCTTTAAGAGAAAATTAAAGAGGGTAGAGTCATACAGCAAGGGCTGATGGGGACAGAGTACTGCTTACTGTGAGGAGAGGAAGATGCTGGGCTAGGTGAAGCCTTTGGTATGAAAAATTCTCTACAGTATCCTGCCCTTTGCAAACCTCAGGAGGGTTTAAAGCCACAAAGTTTTAACAGTAAAAGACCAGTTTTGGTTCTTCTATAAGCAAGCATTTAAATACACTTCAGGCCAGGATAATCTTCTCTTGCCGATGTTTTTGCCTGAATGGGGCTGTTATGATAAGTTAATTCAGGCAGCAAAATATGCTGGGCTGGCTCTGATTGTTAGCGAGATCCACACAAGAAGTCAGGGGCAGAAGCGGGCAGACATTGGAAACATTTTTGAAAATGGGAAAAAGGGGACAATTGCTCAAGGTATAAACAGGCCTTATACATGTCATAAATATGAGAATGCCTTACCCCCCACCAAAAAAAAAAAAAAAAGGAAACCAGGTTATTCTTTGGAAAGCACCAACATGCCCTCTAGCAAACAAGGAGGACATGCCAATTAGGGGAGAACCCAAGAACCCCATGGCATGCACATTTTGCTGGAAATGAGAAAACCGGCATGACGCACTCACCTGTCTGTGTGAGCTCTCCCATTTCACACAATGAATGGCTGGGGTAACGAGACATGCTACTCAGAGCACCATCCATTTGGGCTTCTTCTCCTTTAGACATATGGCTAATAAAAGCCTCAAGCTGAGGATGGGATGGCTTTCTAAAAGAAATACACCAAAACATAAAAACTCTTAAGTGCATGAAAAAGCTAGAACAGTAAAGTGCCCTAATTATGTCAATTCACATAATTTCATGACAGCATAGCTTCTGCTGGGGGCAACCTGTCCCCTGCTCTTAAAGAAATGAAATATGTTGCTAAGAAAATGCACACTAATGCTTGAAAAATGTGTGTAAGGTTGGGTGGGGGACAGCAGAACAAGAACTAAGAACTTATGAGACAAACCCTGGAGGCACTGTTATGTAACAGCCTATAATCCATGTGGCACTTTCTGATTAGCAATCTTGCAGGCACTTGGACCCTATGGTCCTACACGGAGTGAGCAACTGAAGACTGTCTCTGCTGCTCCTTCTGTTCTACCTTGCATGAGCATAAGCTTCCATGTTCAGATGTTTAACCTCAGCTTTGTAGGATTATGCCATAACATTATCTATCTATTCCTCATATAACAGAAACACTACACCTGGCAGTGGTCAGGTTAGGCAATGCATGATTTGTGCCCTATTGTCCTGTAAAGTCAGATGTTCTTCACAACATTTTGTAGTGTCCACAACAGTTTATAACATGGAATAAAGAGACAGAGCTAGTACTCTCCAGATGTTTTAGACTACAGCTCCCTTATAATTAGCCATGCTGGCTGTTCAGATGGTATCTCCAAAGCATCTGGACAGCACATGGTTGCCTACAGGTCTATTACCTATTCCTTCAAGATTTGCATCGAATCATCCTTCATAATCCAAGTTTGCATGTAACTTCCATTTCTCGTTCAAAAATCAAAGTCCTCATTACTGGAAGTCACTGAGAACCTCACCGATAATATTTTAAAATACTCCAAAAGTTTATGATATATTTGAAGATGCCATGGTAGTAAACAGAAAATCAGGATAATTTTGCTAAGGATGCCATTTCTCATATACATATGGATATTTCTCATCTGTTTATACTTCTAAAAGACAGTATATTGTCAAATTAATCAGTGCATTTTAATCAAAAGTTTAATCTAATTAAAAACAGTTACCCTTGACAGATATTTCAGTAATTCTACAATATTTCAAACCTATTCTGGATAAAGCAAGTAACATTTATTGAACATACATTCAACTGTAGATGGGCTTAAAAACATGATTCTGAAGTATAGAAGTACATTACTTAAATGCAGAAAAAAGGTGACTACTTGAAGAATGGTACTAGATTACTTTTTAACTGTGGTAATAAGGCCTTAAGGCAATAAAGTCAATGATTTTGTCAATGATTTTTTCCCATTTCAGTTAATAAAATATTTCTATTCAAGTGTGCCTTGCCTGCTTAAAGGAAAAGGAGTAACAAAAATTCTTGTTTCCACAAGCTTATGCTACTGACGCATTAAATTATCAGGCATTATTGTCTCAAAAAGCAATAGGAGATTTTGACATAAACAACACATAAAAGAGCTTCTTCAAATAATATTGGTTTACCAGTTCTATGAAAGTGCATAACTTTCTGAATCTCATAAGGTGAGAAAAGCAAATCACCGGTCCTGAAAAACTGACATGCTAGCTTTCTGGGACTTCCTTTGGCTTGGTGTTCAGTATATCCTTTAACCTTTAGAAAAGTTCACGTTTTCACAGTGGTAATGGCAACTACAACGCACACATGAAAAAGCGAAGTAAGACACATGCACAGAAATTCTACATGGAAGGAAGCAAGTGTTCATATTAACTCTGAATCACACTCCTTTTTGTGTAAAATTTAGGCCCAATCTTTATGACCTTATTTGATGTAGAAAAACCATTTTATATGACTTTATATTTTATATATTGCTTTGATAATCAAGAGAGTTAATAATAATATTCAGACCACCTTCATCAAATTTAGTCTCATTGATGGTCATGGATGCAACACAGTGTATACACATTGGGATGTAATTAAACTCTACTGAAATTACTCATTTTAGATTAATGTTCCATTTAAATGTATAAGCCAATTTCCAAAACAGGTATCATCAGTAAAAACAAGATTAAATTTAATAATTTAGCACAGGCTATTTGAAGTTATGGGCTACCAGCCAGAGGGCTGCAGAAAAAGTCAGCATGTGTAGAGTGAAACACAGTTTATTGCTTTCATTTTCACTCCAGTAACCCCCTGCTAAACTGAAAACTACATTTTGGACAAATCTGAGAAGAGCAAGCTGCTGAAGTGAAAACTGAAAGCAAAATAACCAGCAATACATGTGGGTAGGGTCTTAATGTATCTGTTTCCTTTAAGAATTTGTCCCTTCATGTCACTTTCCCTTTGCTCATAGAGGTATTAGTTCTTAACACAGCAGCCTGGGCATCTTGATCAATATAATAAAAGCACATGGTACTTCATAAAATGTAAATATCCAAGAACATTTACACTGCAATTTAATACACACGATCACAGTGTAAATCAATTACTGACATCAGGATTAATCTTAATCTGACAAGACTTGCAGGGATCAGGGGAAGACATTAACAGTTCAGCATATTTAACTGAGAGGAATGGGACAGGGAGTTTATTTCTGCATGTATTAAACAATTTACTGATTTGCATTCTGTGATTCCACTACAGCTCGGGTACAAGATATGTATGTGATTTCTCCTTCATCTTCAGTATCCTATTCCCCCTTCATATTGAAATGGTTGTTTAATTACACATAACAGGATTCAAGGGCACAGAGATTGGTATAAATTAAAGTTGGTGGAAGCCAATAATTCAATGGAATATGTCCAGATAGGCAGAAATCCCACCAGGTTCAAGGTATGAACAATTGCACCTGGATAGCTAAAGTAAGACTAGCACTCAAACAAGGCTTTTAAGTATCTAAAATATTTGTTCAAGCTAACAGGAAAACAGACTTAGACACTAATTTGTATAGATTAGTATCAAAAAGTGACCTTTAAGGCTTACATTTCAACAAAGGAGCTAAACAAATCTTATATAAGGCTCTATAGGTCAAACAAACCAACAAACAAGTCTTGGGGCACCTTTAAGTCCAACAAACCTATTACATTGTAAGTTTTCATGGATTACAGTCTGCTCCATCAGATGCATTTTAAATACACAGTTGTGGGAATGGGGGAAGGCAGAGGGTTCGAGAGGATTCATAACTGCTAAAGTCAGAGAAAAATGAAATATAAACATCACAATAATTGTCTTAAAATAACCATTCACGAATAAATCAGTGTGTGTGCTAAAATGAATAACCAACATTAAGCTTTAACATGTCACATTGGGTTTTGCTTTGTTTGCTTCCTTGTTTGCTTTTTGCATTTCATTTCCTTCTTTTCTGAGTGATTACAATCCCCCAGTCTGTGTGCATGTGTATCATCCACTGAGGACAACACTTCAGTCTATGAAAGTATATGTATGCCATAATATCTGTTGGTCTTTAAAGTGCCCAAAGACTGTTATTTTTGGTGTGACACGGTAACATAGTTATGCCTTTAGAAAGTGGACCATTCTGAATTTTGAAATTCTTCTACATGAACTGGCTCGCAGGATGCAACTGTGCTGAATAAATTATGGCTACCTGGTGCTTCCAGGACAACAGGCTTTGCTACCCAGTGGCAATGTGTTTACTCACGCAAAGTGACGCTGCTGCCTTTTTTCAAATCAGATAATGATTCCTTGATGCAACTCTTCTGTGACGATACATTTCAAATAATTAATTTGACCCATATGAATATGCAGTTTGTAGGTTTTATGGTTTAGATTACTCAATCTTTATCCCTGTCAATATGATACAATCAATAGTGTGTATATTCCTTATTGATACTTATTATTAACAAATTTTGCTTAATGAATTATGACTTAATTTGGAAATACTCAGAACAAAGCTCTTGCTATGTTTAAAGTACTTCAAGATTTGAAATGGGAAAAGCCTTATCAACAATCATTGCAATAAAATGTTCTTGTGTTTTTATTTGTGTACTCTATATTGCAATTGATTATTCTTGTTTTTTTAAAAAATAACAATATATAGGTCCAGTTCTATGTCTTCCACATAAGATTTTCACATTTGTCAAATACAGTCAATGGTATGGCTTCAAAATGCTTCAATATGATTCTGAAATTTGGAAATGCAAATAAGAGCTGGTCAAATAAAAGGCATCTGTTGGATACTTTGTTCTAGACTTCTCAAAAGATATTGAAACCACAAGGGGGCACCAAACAATCATTGCAAGATAAACATAGGCCTTAGAAGTGATACCCAGAATATGACTACACAGAGGATTCAAAAAGAGGCTCTCCTGAAATGCAAAGTTATTGCTTTTGCACACTCTCATATAGCAGAAAGAAGATAAAAATTAAGAAACAAAAGTTTTCCAGATACTTGAGCTTGTCAAAAAAGGAAGGGAGGAAGGAAGGGGGAAACATTTAACAGAAAAATCACAAAAACACTTTTCATATCACCCATGTGTGGATATAATATGGACAGCTGAAAAACTGTTCAGCCTTTTCCTGCAACTCCAAACTGCAGCACAACACAGCTTCTTTACTTATCCAGTGCATTTATATCCTGTTTCTTAGAGGTATATACTCAAAAAGGAAGTAGACACAATTTCATATCAATTTAGAAATCAAACCTGTCAAAATTAAGCCAAATTTGAGGTTGCTGAGCACATGAATTAACTGCTTACTCAGAAAAGTTCAATAATAGAATGCATATATCTGAAATCCTTCCCTTCCTTTTAATTTTGCTTTATTAATGGTAAATTATCATTGTGTATTTTAGTCTTCCTTTTCTTCTTTTTGATTCTTTTTTCTTCACCGTTTCACCCCACTACCCTTTCTTTTTGTCACTGTAATAGTTTATACAATTCTATGAAAATTTAACTAGAAATAAGTCCCACTATGGTCAGTGGAGTATAGTCCCAGAAAATATACACAAGCATTGCCGCTTTGATGTTCTTATCTTGTCACAGTTTACAAAATAAAGATGATACACGCACACAAGTTTGTTAAATACACCCCTTTTC